AGTTTTCCTGAAAGTAAAAGTGCTTTATTGAGTAATGTTTATTGAGTCTTAAGAGTGGGAACATGACAACGCTAATTTAAAGTTTCCTTAATTTTTATAAGTTTTCCATTTTCTTTGTCTGAATACACTGATGTTTCATCTAAACAACATCCCATCGTGTTTGAATTGGCATTCCACATTTATGGCCTACTTAATTCTGAGACGGTATATTTTTTGAAGAGTAGTAAAATAAAGATACATATATTGTTAGGGATATAATGACATTTCAGAGACTGAAATTAATGACCTTTTCTTGTAGAACGAGTTTATTTTTTTGTCCTTACTGATAGCTCAAACCAAGAACTTATATTTAATAAACTCCATGTGAGGTAAACAGGCCCAATTTACTTAGCTTTTAATCTATTCAACAAAAATATTTTAAAATTATTATACATTTTCGAATCTGAAAAGGTAAATTTGGACACCTTTGGTCATATAGGTATTCGTTTTAGATAGAAGTTGCTTCTTGGTCTCACTGGTGAAGGATCACGAATTCCTGTGCAGAGAAGGGAGACAGGCGAGGGCAGTGGGCTCCTGGGGAAGCCGACAGCTGAGCTGGGGTAACTGGGACAGCGTCAGTTTCCATGCACCGTCCTGAACAGATGTGCCTTTGGTTTCGATGGCAGAGGAGCTGCTGTGTGCCTTCTCAGACCAGCGCCAGCGTTTGCAAGGTCACCCCGGCCGGGCCCAGCAGCCCTTCCAGACACTTGGGTCACGTTGGTATTATCAGAGGGGTCACGTCCTTCATTGTTCACAGCCGAGTGTCTCATCGGACGCTAGAGCTAGCTAGAGCCCCATCTGACAAGAACTCGAATTCCCGGCACAGCATCTTTTGTTTTTCAAGGGAGAATAAGGTTTTTTTTTTTTTCCTGATTAAAAAGTCATATACTTAGTATAAAAATTTAAGCAGTACAGAAAAACATAAAGAAGAAAGTAAAAATACCTAAAATCCCACCACCCAGAGATAATCGTCTTTAATATTTTCCGTAATGGAAAAGAAGTAGGCTCTGAGATACTTTTCAGCGTTGTGTTGTAAACAGTTCTGAAATGAGCAGCACAACCCAGTACTTTTTTTTGCCTCAACAGCTTTTTTTTTATGGAGCTTTACTTCACTTACTATGCATTTACCCACTTAAAGTGTACAGTTCAGTGGGTTTTAGTATTTTTTTAGTATTTTCAGTGGGTTTTAGTATATTCACGATCTCCTGGGTGAAAAAAGAATTAATAGCATCAATATACTAAGGGTCGTGCAGTTATCACCGCAATCACTTCCGACTACTTTCGTCATACCAAGAAGAACCCCGTGCCCTAAGCCATCATCGGCACCCTCACCTCGCCCACCCCCAGTGCCTCCGTAGCTCCCAGCTCTTGGCAGCCGCTGATCTCCTTTCTGTCTGTACGGAGCTGCCCAGGCTGGACAGGTCACGTCATTGGGATCACACACCATGTGGTCTTTTCTGACGACTTTTACTTAACATGATGTTTTCAAGGTTCCCCCGTCCTGTAGCACGCATCATGCGTGGTAGTGTGAAAAGTAAATCATAATAAAAAGCATGCATTCGCGTATCTAGGCATGCTAAGTTTTAACAATTGACTTCTACATTTTAACTGATTTTTGGTTTGCTTTAAAGTCGTATGGGAATGGCGTACAGAGAAAATAATGACAAAATCTTAACATTAAAAAAAATAGATTAAAAGCAAATCGTTCTCAATTCTTTATTTTGAAAAAAAGTCCACATTTTTAAACTTGGTACCTTGTGTACAGCAGAGTCGTGCAGTAGTTGTCTACGTGCGTTGTATTCTGCATTTCTTTATCCATGCATCCGCTGACAGACGCTCGTGTTGTTTCTGTATCTCGACTATTATGAACAATGCTGCAGTGACCAGGAGAGCGCAGATATTTCTCCGATATCCTGTTGTCATTTCTTTGGACACAGACCCAGAAATGGGACATAGCTGGATCATTTGGTAGTTCCATTGCTGATTTTTTGAGGAACCTCCATGTGATTTTCCATAGCGGCCACCCCAGTTTACGTTTCTAAGTACCTGTTTTTTTTTTTGAACGCAGACAACCATACCACTGCAGTGTCCTTCTGCAGTATACTCTAGATACCTTAGAGCAAACGAACACATTTGCTTTCATTCCCTCTCAAAAAAGTACATCGTGGAACTTTGCAATCAGGAGGGTAATACCTGGGGGCCTTATTGATGGGGAAAAAGTGGGGATGCTGCTAATTTGCATGCTGAGTGTGCTCACTCAGCAGACTAGCTTTCCGAGGTGCGATCGAATTAAAGTCAGCTTCGAGCAAACATTATCTCATTTAGTCCTCAGAAAAAAACGCTGAGATGGGTACCATCCCCATTGTAAATCGCCTAGGGACTGACGGCTTCTAGTGGAAACCTCTCATGTAAAAACATGAGCGCCAGGGTCTGCTGTGATAATTACATCCCAGTAAAATAGGGTAACGCCGACCAAATCTAAACAGCGTGCCTGCCGTTTCCTGCTACTAATATGCCAAACTCAAGGTTTCTACATTTCCCTGCTCATACACAATACCTCGTGGCACAGAATGTGAAAAGGCAGCAGGCAGAGCCTGAGGAATAGCAGTTTCACAGACTACGTTAGAAATAAATGAGCCACCAGGATGAGACTGTTTTAAGGTCAGAGTAGCTGATAGAGATGGCCATTTTTCTTCTCCGTAAATCTTAATGTTAAATTTTGCTTTTTGATACACAAACTTCCTCAATTCATGTTTTTCTTTAGGGTCCATCCTAATTTCTCTTAGCTCTAAGCCTATTTGAATATGACTAACTTAAAGAGAATTGTCCTTTTACAGGCAAAATGTAAGATATATGGAATATTGACGCTACTCCTAAAACTGCTGTAATCATCATATCGGTGAATTTGCTCAATTTGGACAGGGAATGTTCTTTCTCATATTCTGCCCTCCTCCCCCAACTGAGTGAAAAAAAGAACTAACAGCATCAGTACTAAGCAGGAAGTGCTATGAGCCTTATGCGTATGATGGAATGAATAATTTAGTATCCTTGGGAAATGCAGGCTGCAGCAGAATTCAAGCAGCCGTATCAGAATTTAGATCAGTATTTTATGTGATGGTAAGAAGTAGAAGTGAGTAGAAGGAAGATGCTTCATGATCACATGCAAGAATGGTGCTAAAATAGTTTAAACTGTGACAAGCTTGGGAGTTCTGGCTTGAAAATGTTTTGTCTTACGCAGTAATAATGGTTTACCTGCATTCTGTCAATTGTCACATGACTTTTTGCCAAAATGATTGGTAATGGACCGTGGCAGTTTCTTTGCTGTCAGAGACGAGATAATTTCTCAGGTTTTTCTTGTAAGTTTTTATATTTGCCTCCACCCCCCTCCCCAAATATGAATTAAAGGAACTGAAGGGTAAAATCTGAAGACTAGGCATGTTTATTTAATAAAGGCTTTATAGAAGTAGTCATTTACAAATATTGGTAAGACAGTTTTTTAAAGTTTAAACTTAAAATATTATTGGAAATTTTCTAAATTGTTTATCTTCTTTAGAATGATCTAATTAGATTGGTAGACATGTCATATGTATGCCTGTGGTCTTTTTTATGTCATTACTATAAATATTGTGCATGCGACTTTAATAATAGATTGGGTGGTTGGAAATTCTTGGCGGAGGTGACATTTATCAATCTTACTTTGTTTGTATTTGAAAATATCTGCTGTATATGTTTAAAACAAAATTTATACTTCATTGAATTATATTAAATCTAATTTCTAAACATGATTTAAAAATCCTTGATTATTTAAGATTTATTACCATTTTCAGATGTACATTCTTTATGGTTGGTTTGGTTCTGATTCTGTGCAAACTGTTTAGTTAGCATAAATTATATTCTTTAAAGAATACGGTTCTAAGGGAAATCTAAAATACCATCTTGCTTGCCTTTATGTAGTCTTTCTTAAGTCAATATATTTTTAACCTGTTCACTGTTTCTGGTTACTACCAATGGAAAAAGAAAATTTTTCCCATGCTGAAACGAACTTTAGGATTTTATGGAAAATTACTGATGTTGAGTTTTGAATGTCACTAATATAATACTAAAAAAATCTTACTTGTTTTTTTCCACCCTAATTTTGAGTGTCACCTTTCTCTTTTCGTAAATGATCACCTTCTCGTTGAGTGTGGTCTCTTAAAGAGAGTTTACATTAAAGCTTAAGGTAAATGTCAATGGCAATAGCCTAAATATTAAAGGACTATTTTATATGGCCATACATTTTAATAGGATAAATTGTCAAATACGTGTACATATACACATATTTAGGAAAAAAAGGAACATTACTATATGGCTTGGTAAAACAACAAACACTTTGTTGTTTTTCAAAGTCCAAAGCAAGTAAAGATATTCTTATTTTACGTCAATGACTATAAAACACTCTAATTGCTGTAGGCTGTTTAAAATGGTTTTGTTTTTTTTTCAACTAATAGAAATGAGTTTATCTCATGTTGTTAGTCTTAAACATTTTTCCTAAATTTTTGTTTCAGCTGCAAATTATTCTAAACGAGCAATACTAAAAGAGGGTAGATATGAAATTTAATGGCCATAGATCTTGACTTCCTGTACCTCAGCTTCATTTACTTTTTAAAATAGAATTGGAAAACATAAATCAATTGCACTCTCTAATTGTCTAACTCAGGAAATAATTAAGCTATACGTGCCTCATTTGATCTGTGGCTTCTTATAGGGTTTTTCCACAAATAAGATTATACATAAAACAATGTTTAAGCTAAGATTAAGGAGGATACGTTTTCATTAAATTACAGAGCTTCCAGAAGGGGGGTCTAGATAGGAAATATGTCTAAATACATTTTGAACCTTTCAAAGCACCTTTTAGTTAATGTGAAATTCTTCAGATGGCCCCGGTATCCTCGAAGCTTCTAACACCAAGGTGTCTGTTGCAGCTCAGAGCAAGGTTGCTGCTCCCCAGGACAGCACTAATTTGCGATGTATTTTCTGTGGTAAGCAACATTATGTTTACATTACTTTTTCAAGCTGTACTACATACTCCTTGCACATTTTCATAACTTTTGTTTCCTTAGGCCATAGTCTGGTTTGTGGTTTTGGGGATATACAGCAAGCTCTTGTTTTATGTCGTGATATTTGTTGTGGTTCATGTAGGTGATTTGGTCAGCGTTTGGATTGGCTGCTTAGGGAGGAGTTAGTTAGAATTAGGATCTTAAGACTCGTTCTTGTTCACTTCTAACATGAATGGGAGAGGTTTTTGTTTTTAACTATTTTGTTTGAAAGCAATCTTTTAATTTGGAATTTAAGGGAAAAAGTTATATTCATCTTACCATGGTTTGGGGAATGTTTATATGACTTATTAGAAGGGAGCTTTTGCTTAACTTGAATTAATTTTTAGGTGTACACTTTGCCAGGCAAATGTTAACTGTTACTTGCTTTAATGGGTTTACTTCTGACCAAAAGCCTCATTATTCAGTAGTTTAGATATCTGTGGCTTATAAGTGAATTTAGGCCTATAGAGTGTTTTCTTTCACTGTCACACACACACACACACACACACACACACACACACACACGTATTGTTTGAATGGACAAACCAGTTATGGCACTTAGCCCTCCCAAATTCCAGTTAGTCAGATGTATGTATATCCTTATCCTTACGCAAGGATAAATCAGTATTTCTGTGTGTACACACACACACACACACACACACACACACACACACACACACGTACACCCTTGTCTGAATTCTTTTTTATGCTCATTTGATTCTAAAACTTTCTCTTTTGAAAATCCGAGTTTAGAAAGTGACTTTTAAATCATAGAACCTTTTTTTTTTTTTTTTTTTAAACACATATAACTTTTTGGATTCCTATATACTTCGACTTGCTAGAGTTTTAAATGAGAGATAAACATATAAAATGATTACTGCTAAAATTTTACATAAACAGTTCAGCTGCATGTATGTACTTTCCATGTGACTCTTCAGTATTAATGATACTGTTTCTTTACCGATAAAGAAAATTATTTTTAAATTTATGTACTTGCTGGTTTAGGCCAAGAAGCATGCATTATAAATTTCCAAAAATGAAAATTCTAGTGTATTTCTTGTTATATTTTACAGTTGCTCCAGGTGACACAGTTACAGTAGTGAGCCTCTTGTTTGGCTCTTTATAAATCCCCCCTCCCCAGATTCCATAATTAATCATTGCAGATGTTTTATTAGTAACTTTTAATTCCGATTTTTCTGCCTCCTCCTGGGGGTTCTTCCAGGTCCTCTTTTGAACTAGCCATGACCGATTATTTGTGTTTGTGTTATTAGGACTTTTTAGTTCATTTCGAAAACCTGCTTGATGTTCTATACTTGCTACTTAATACGTGGAGTTTCGCATGCAAAATAATAGATACAGTTTACCCAATTGCAGAGAAAAGGTTGATTTGGCCTTAATAAAAGTGAATTTTTTAAGTCGTAAAATAATGTGTTAAAAAGTACATTTCCCCCATTATTACCTTGAATTGTATAAACAATATAATTACCACGTTGTTAAGTTTCAACTTGATTGTATTGTGTATAATAGCACCTATTTGTCTTTTGGTCCTGTGTGATTAAGTAGTCTGTGCCTAAGTGTGAAACTATAGTTGTGAAAATAAAAATGTTACAGTAAGTGAAATAGGCTTCGGCCAAAACTCAGCATTGAACCCAAGACTGAATTGCTATTCATCCCCGGTTCAGAGATACTCTGTTCCGATTTCCATCACTCGTAGGACACCATGTCATTGACATGGACACACTTTCTTTATTAGAAACTGAGGTCACATGCTTCGCTATGCGACTTCTAGCCAGGACAAATTAAGATCAACCATTGTCTTTGGCTGTGGTAATAAAACAGAGAAAACTAACCAAACTAACCCCCAAGTAGCTACTGTTCTTTATGATAATATAGTTGGAACAAAGCAGGTTTACTTGTTTCTTCTATTTTTTCCAAAAAAGAATTGTTAATCACCACATGGCGCTCGTAAAATATATTGTCATTTGCCCGCTGCTTTAGGAAAGGACCTTTTTTTTTTTTTATTCAACGAGAACACAAATACTCATTTAGGAATATGACCTCTGTGAAGTAAGTAATAGTTATATTCCAGAAAATACGGTGGCAGCTGACAGCTTTGCCTGATCTTAGTTGCTGCTTCATGCTTTGTGTGGTGCCTTTGGTCTAATTTACCAACTGTATAACCCAAAAGAATGTTTGACAAGAAGACAAAACGCAACCGTGTACCTGCAATTCATAACTTACCTAGAACTCTTATTTAATGCTTACAGTATATTTATATTTTTTAAATGCACATGAATTTCACTGTGCTTGTTATTGTGACTTGTTGATGAAGAAGAAACGAACAAAAAAGAAACAATCAGATGAAATATAGATGTGAGAAAATGCCAAGGGGGAGGCTTCTCCTCTCCTGCTTCCCATTTATAGAATGACTGTCTGTGGAAAGACAAAATAGCCCATTATCACAAAGAACTATATAGAAAAGAATTTTAAGAGTTGTTCTTGGATCAAAATTTCCCTCATTTTAAAAGATCTTTCTTGAATCTTTGCTTTCAGCCACATGAATAAAACTGTAGCAAAATTGGTTTTATAGTAATAAGTATTGCCCACAGTTTAAAAACTTCTAAAACTTTCTTTCAAAACAAGTTTATTGAGTAAACCTTTAACTTAAAAAAATACAAAACAGTTTCAGACACTTTTGGTGAGTTATATCAACTTTTGTTAGTTTTTTTTTTTTAAAACCTGTTTAATAAAATTAGTAGGATTGAGTTGAAATTTTGATATCTTTTTCTTGAATTTATATATTTGAATTAAAAATTACTTTGATAGATTTTAATTGGTAAATTTAATCTATTAATTTTACGTATTTAAACCAAAATGGTCTTGTGAGTTGCCCATGCTAAATGCTTATTTAATGTTTTTGGATAACTATAACTATAACTATAACTATAACTATACTATCACCAAATAATTTATATTTTCTCAAATTTACCCTCCCACCCTGTAGGTACCCCTTCTGCCAAAAGAAACGAGATGTCTTTCCCTGTAAAGTAATTAATGTAGGGCTTAATGTGACAGTATTTTTACTTCATTATGTTAATTTTCAAAAGAAGGAAAGAATTCCAGTCTATTCACTAGACAGTTATATATTTTAATTTACGCAAACATTTAAGTGTGTATTTAATTTTAACTTAAAAGGCTTTTGATTTTTTTTGTTGTTGATTATTATATGGAATGTATTTTTATATTTATGTGGTTCTCAAAATAGCAGACTCAGGAAATCTAATGAAAAATATCCTGCAGTGATCATCTAATTTGTCTTTAGAGTACAAATTAGATTATTAGATGATTAATGTAAGAAATATGTGTAAGGAGATAAGGAAAAAAATTAGTAGGTAAGTTCAGATCAAATTGTTTTTTTACACTTGCGATATACCAAGACTGTATTATATTCTAACGGACCTTATCCTTCTAGTTGTGAAGTGTATTCCACTAGTATAAAATACTTTGTGCTGTTAATTCATAGATTACAAGAATTTGCTTTAGAAGCGTTTATTTACTAACTTTTTTTTTATACTAGTGGTCTACAAAACACTTATAAAAATATCTGCTAGGGGCATTTGCTGGCACGCTAGAATTCACAAATATGTACAGCATATCATTACTCATTAATTTCTCTCCAAGAGTGGAAGATGGCTATTTATTTATTATCTTGTTTATTGGATTAGATTTCAAGACTGTTACATTGTAACCCTAGGCGTTGTATATTAGATCTAGTGTTTATTAATCTCATTTTTTGACACATTTAAGTTTTACATCCAGTGACATTAAAATGCCCTATAATTTAGTGGCATTCTTTATAAGATGCTAAAAATGGGTCTCCTTTGTACATGACATGTGGAAATGGATGGCCGTTAGTCTCTCATGACAAAACCATGTTGGTTTGAATGCAGGTTTTTTGTTTTTGTTTTTGTTTTACTCCAAATGAAAAGTTATTAAGATTACCTCCGTTATATTAAAAATTCAGTTAAGAAGGTTAATTATACATGGAAGTTTAGCAAATGTTTGTTCTCTCCAGTGCTGGAAATGCCAGGCCATTAAATAAGAATGGCAGCTTAAATTGGGCAAATTTGATAAATGCATTAGCGTACATCAGTCTAGTAATAAGGTTCTCATGCTCTCTCTCTCCTGTTTTTCATTTCCAGTGTTCTATTTAGGTGAGTTTTTGAATTCTGATTTTTCATTTAAGTTCTCCCTCTCCACTTCATGAATAAGTACCCCAAAGAGAATGTCTCATTGTCTTAGAAAATGTCAAGCTTAGGTGCCTATCCAGATGCTCATTGAACACTTGTTTTACTCAAGCTCTTCATATATAAATGTTTATTTTTCCTTTATTGTTGATGTTTTCCATTTGTTTCAAGTAAGCCTTTGGAGATGATGACAGTATTATGTTGCAGTCTTTCATTTGCTGTGTGTTATGAAAAGCTTATATTTTATTTTGCTAAACGAAAAGAAGATACATTTGTAAATATGTGATGGTTTTACGTTATTCTCATGATTTTCTCTCTGTCCAGCCAAATATCAAGATAATGTTCATCTATAATGTTTTCTCTTTTTAGGGCCAACATTGCCTAGACAAAATTCACAACTACCTACCCAAGTTCAAAATGGCCCATCGCAAGAAGAATTGGAAATTCAAAGAAGGTAAATTTACAAGTTATTTTTTATACTTTTTTATTCTTCCACAGAAGACCAAACTATGAACAAACACCCTGATATTGAAAGCAGATTATGTCTCATCAGCCATTTGAGAGCCAGAACTTTTGTTGTTATATTGTTAACTTTTGGAATCACCATTAATAAGTGAACAAATTCTTGTTATGCTGGGTAAAAGATGTTATAAAATTTCATATCTACTTTTTTTTTTGTTAAAAATACTCACGTAAGTTTAAAATAGTTTAAAGACACTTAACAGCATACAAAATGTCTTGTACTTCAAGGAGTCTTATTTTTATAGTAGTTATAAATTAATTTATGATCATTATAGCTTTCACATGACTGACTTACTAGAAAATTGAAACAGTGTTGGCAGTTTGTATAAGGCATTGATTTTGAGATATTACCATTGGGTTTAGTAATGGAATACAAAATCATTCTGTTTATGACCAAACTGCTGACTGAAGATCAATAACATCTTCATTATTTCAGCGCAGTTTAGGAACACATTTGAAATTTTGATACAGCCTCGTAGAGGGGTAGTTGTTCTGAATTAGTAAGGAGTCTCTGACTTAGAAGCTGCTTGGTACATTTGGTAACTAAAATTGAGCTAGTCATACCAGGTGTCCCATTTTATTATTTATTTAGTTATTTTAAAGCCATGTTTAACATTTTATTTATTATTTAAAAATTTTTTTATAGTGGCGTTGGTTAACGAAATCGAGTAAGTTTCAGGCGTACAATTTAACAGTAAGGCATATGTATATATAGTGCATTGTGTGTTCACTGCCCATAGTTAGATTTCTTTCTGTCACTACATATTTGACCCCTTTTACTCCCATCTAGCGCCCCCTCTCTGCTCCCCACTCCCCTTTGGTAACCACTAGTCTGTTGTCCGTGTCCATGAGTCTCTGTTTGTCCTGTTCGTTTGTTGCTTTTAGGTTTATATCCTACATATAAGTGATATCGTGTGATTTTCAATTTTTTCTGTCTGGCTTATTTTGCTTAGCGTGATTATCTCAAAGTCCATCCATGTTGTCGCAAATGGCAGTGTTTCATCTCTTCTTATGGCTGAGTGATATTCCATTGTATATATGTACCACAGCTTCTTTAGCCAATCGCCAGGTGTCTGTCCCATTTTAAACAAAGGAGCACTTTTCAGCGATGTTTTAGACTGAGTAGGTTGCCTCTATTTTGTTTTGGAGAGTTGACAGCTGTTGTATAGATGAATTTTTCCAGTTGAGAAGTGTTTGCTTCATGACAGACTAGCATTTCTGCTTGTGACCTTTGATTTGGATCTCAGGTTTGAAACACTTCACATTCTCACTGTTGTCTTAATATGTGTGTCACGTTCCCCTGACACAGGGATGTCTTGCCACGTTCCGTGTCAGCTGCTTTGGTACCGAACCACTTCGGTCCAGCCATATTAGCAAAAGTAAAAGGATTAACTTTAATAATGTATTTTACTTAACCCACCGTATACAAAACATTATCATTTCAACATGAAGTAAGTATAAAAATTAAGCTATCTTATTCTATTTTTCATACAGAACGTTTAAAGTTTGGTATGTGATTTTACACCCACAACACGTTTCTAGTCAGACTATCCGCATTATGAGTGCTCAAGAGCCACTCACGGCCACCTAACTGGATAGCACAGTAGATGTTCTGTTGAAAATTTAGTTTTTATCTCTAACAACTTTTTCTTTTTTGATAATGGCAAGTTCCTTTTTTCTAACGGCCAGTTCTAAATTCCTGATTGTGTTTTAAGTCTCCCTTGTTTCTTTTTTTTTTGCTCAGCTTATCTCCCCCCTGTAGAGTTGTATTTGTTTGTCTTATTGGTTTTACTGGAATATCTGCTCATCTTTAGTGGTCCATTTATTTCTAAAACAGAATTTGTTCGAGTGATATCAGTACTTGGCTTGGGTTTCCTCGTCTATCCAGGAGTGTAGATCTCTGCTGGGCAGCCTTCCTCCCTGACTGAGAGGCCGGCCAGGGAGGTCTGTGGAGGTGGGCCTGGAAGAGCAGATAGGCTGGTGGGCTTGCCGGTAGGTAAAGGGTACAAGAGTGGGGAGCAGACAGGCCTCAGGACCCCCCAGATACCGAGCTACCGTTAGTTCCACCAGGTGCCCTGGCTCATACTTTGGAAAACAGTCTCCCATGGTAAATGCCATTCCGTCCATTGAGCTAAGGTTGGGAGGACAGGGGTGGCCGGTGCAGCTGTTCTTCAGACCACATGTGTGCTTATGAATCAGCTTGATTGTTGTTGCGTAGCTCATTCCCATTCTCTCTGCGTGCCAGTCTCATTAGGTCTTTCCCAGATTCCTCCTCTCTTGCCTGCTTCAGACATTTTCAGATTGTATTCTGGACCGTGGATGCCTCCACTGTTCAATTGTGTTCCAGGCACTGTTCATTTTCGTTCTAAGTGCTTAGGATCCTTGGGACAGGGATTGGGGTACAGGCAAAAAAACCTCACCCTAATCAGACAATAAACTATAAACATGACGTAGCATAGTAGAAGGTGATAAATGGCATGGGAAGAAATAGAGCCACGCGAAGGGGAGCAGGTGTTGCAGAAGGGCCAGGGGAAGTGCAGCTGTTTCTCTGAATAGGTTGGTCAGGGTAGATCTTATTGAGAGGAAAGGAAGGAATTAGCCAAGTGGATGTAGGTGCATTGCATGCAGAGGGAACAGTCAATGCAAATACTTTAAGGCACGATAATGCTTGTGCGTACAGGAAAAATGAAGGCCACTGAGCCTGTAGCAGAGAGAACAAGAGTAGAAAAGGAGAGTAGCTGATGAGTTTGAAGGCAGTGGGGAGTCATACCATGTAGGACCTTGAAGAAAATTATAAAGAATTTAGCTTCTACTCAGAGAAACGAGGAGCCATGGATTATTTCGATACGAATTATCTGGCTTCACATGGTACCGGAATCAGTCTGGCTGCTCTATTGGCACTAGACTACAGAGAAACATGAATGGAGGGAGGTTCAAGATTGTGACAGCAGCCCAGGCCATTGCAGTAAACTAAGCAGGAAATAATGGTGGCTCCCCCCAAGTAGTAGAGGAGGTGAGAAGTCAGATTCTAAATAATAATAATTATTATCTAAGGACTTCTGATCAAGCTTTAGTGACACTTATCAATATGAATGGACAGCCAAAGATAATCAGACCTTTAAGGACAATGTCTATCAGGTGAAGACAGATCAAGACAAACAGAAAAACAAAGAAATAAGAGGAAATAAATGTACAAGGAACAGAAGAAAACCTAAACATATACTGTAATAGCTTCAGAGAATGAAGAGAATATTTCATTCATAAAGCAAAAATTTGTAGGTACTTAAAAAGAGTCATTCCGATCATAAGAAAATGTACTTAGAAATTAAAAAAACAACAACATTAACAATAGGAGGTTTAAGAACTAAGGTTGAGGAAATTTCCCTGAAAATAGCTGTAAAAGATAGAAGTAGTATACGAAGCAGAAAATCAGATCAGATCGGGAGGTCCAACATCCAAATAATAGGCGTTCTAAGGCAGAAAAGAGCAAAAACGTGAGGAAACAGATTCTGCAAATAATCTAAGAAAATTTCTGGGAACTCAGTGACTTGATTGTGTAGATCAGAGGGCTGCAGACTTTTTCTGAAGAGCCAGATAGTAAACATGTTAGACCGTGGGCCGGAAGACCTCTGAGGCAGCCGTTCAGCTCTTGCCTCGTAGCTTGCCGTAGACTATACGTACAGGAATGGGCATGGCCAGGCTCGGGCCTTGGACTCTAGTTTTCCAGGCCCCCTGGTCTAGACTGAAAAGGCTCACCAAGTGTGCGGCCCAATAAGCAGAGAAAAAAACCCTACCACTAAGGCATAGCACTGTGAATGAAAAGTGAGGTACTACAATAGAGAGAAGCTTCAGATTTCTGAGAGGTTGTCCCAGTCTAAACCTGAAACTTTCTCCTTCGCACAGTTTCTTAGGAAGCTCCTGGAAGGGAGCTAGGAAGGTAGCTATTGAAGTGAGAGGGCACCAAGCATGACGAGACCATGAGAGGAGCCAGCAAACAAGGGGTCCAGCTGAGGGAAGAGAGGAGGGGAGTCCAGGTCTGACCCAGGCGAAAGCAGAACCAAGGGCCCGTTGTCAGAACGGAACCCGGAGGCCCGGGAGCTTCTGGTCGGGGCGTTTCTGGGAGCAGGAAAGATAAAATGAGCCAACAAAGGAACAGAATCGATCACCCGATATGTTTGACCATTTCGAAAGGGTTTATATTTCTCATGGGAGGGTTTGGGGTCAAATATCGATAGGGATGTAGAAAATGAAGCAGTCGTTAAAAAAAGAAAATAGCAATTTTTAACACCAGAGAAAGAGAGAAATTGTTCTAAAATCTAAAGGTGGTCAGCCACCAATAATACAAGTGAATGTTTCGAGGTACCCAAAGTGGCGTTTTGATTTTATTGGGAGGATGAGGAAGGAAAGGTTGCGGGGGCCAGAGGTTGTAGGAATTAAATCATTTGTGTGGTAGGAAGTCAGCAGAAAACATCTAAATCTGAAGAACCAAGAAATATTAGTTGTAAACAAATTACTGTTTTTAGAAACATGAGAAAAATACCGAAGGGTTGAAAGTAGTTGCTTCTGAGGAGCGAAATCAGAAGCGATGAGGGCGGGAAGAGCATTTCCGTTTTGTTATAAGCTTTGCAATCCAGCTTATCTTTTTATCTATTTTATAAGTTTAATTTTTAAATTTTTAATGAGGGTGAAATTGAGTTGAAAAACGAGTATTTACTTTAGGTGTTTAACTCCTATTGGTCTAGTATCTTTACTGTAGTAACATGATGAAAGTATCGTTTAGTTTTCTATGCATATGTGTCTCTCTTGTTCATACTGGTTTTTGATTTGGCTTCCTGGGCTGACTGATGAAAAAACGTATTCTGAGAAGCATGAGTCAGTCCTGTGTTAGTCTCAGCGTAGAACTTAATTTAGTTAATATCTATAAATAGTTTGCAAATCACCACTACTACCTGAAAGATATAAAGGAGGAATGAGAAGCCCCGCGTAGCCACGGGGAGCTGGAGCAATGAGGGTGTACAGACCTGCGGTTGGCCTTCAGGGGCGGGATGGGCCGAGAGTCGACCGCCTCCTCTTGTAAGTGTTGTCCCTTGTCCCAGGAGCTTTCTCATACTAAGACTCAATTACCTTGTTTAGTTTTATCCATTTTCTTTTGTTTACTAATAGAGAAGTGAAATGCCCTTATTGTATGATGAAAACATACTTGTGTAGTTTTATTTTCTGACAAATATCAGGAATATTAGAGTGTTACTGAATGATGTCAACCCAGAATGTTCTCCTCCTTCATTATTTCAAAATTTAAATCACTTTTTATTTCCCTAACCCTTTATTATAAGTAAGGCTGAATGAAATGTATTTTTAATTTTATTATTTATATTTGGCTTAAAAAAAATAAGTCCGAGTGAGCATAAACTGAAGTATGTGTTTCAATATATAAAAAACCAGTCTCATCAGCCAGTGCTTGGTACATCCCTTTTATATTTGGGGAGAAATTTTGTGGGCCAGGGGAGCTATTTCTGATATTATTTTTTTAGATGTTTGTGTTGGCTATAATATTGGCTATAGTTACACTATAACTGTTTCTGAGAAAATACACATTTAAAAAATTATTTAAAAATGCATATCCTAACGTCAAAGAAAATTTACTCTGCCAGAATTTTTCCATAGTTTAGAATTAGGGCCCTTACACTTCGAAAAAGTCTTCAGGTGATTCCGTTAATGAGTGAAGGGAACAGCAGTTGTGGGTGGAACTCGGGGTGGAGTTGCGTGCGTTTGCATCCAGTATGTGAGTCGACAGCGATATTTCTAAGAAAAGCAGAGTTTCTAAATTTGGAAACTGTCCCCATCGAAATTTATACAAAGTCCTGCTTTAGAAGACATGAAAGTCAGAAGATTTACATCCCATCCACTTTAGGTGGGAATTACGTCGTTAAAGGTTGCAAACCCGACATTTTCTCTTTGACATACTGTTTCGGGAAATATAGTCAGATGTGCCTCTTGTCAGTGAGCAGGTTGAAAATCAGCTAGGACTTTTAACACCTTCCTTTCTTACCTTCAAATCAAGAAGGCGCACATGCGCGGTCGGCGGAATCTCCCGCCGCCGTGTGAGCTGCGCGTTTCAGTTGCCTGTTGGTGAACTTGGGAGGTCTCTGGCTTGTGCTCTTTTTCTCCATCAGTACCTGCTCTTTATCTTTCTAGGTGAGAAACCCTAGACTATTATGAGACGGGGAACAGTCTTAACTCAGGACGCCATAAATGCCATTGTTCAGTAATTATTTTCAGATTCACTTCCCTCATACCTGGCCTTCTGCCTGTGATTTAAGCTCACTTTTTTTGTGTGTAAAAAGCGTTGTATTGGTTAGAGAAGCAGCTGTTAACTTGGGAGTAAGAAAAAGTAAAAACTCGAATAAGAAATGAAATGTAGTCTTAGAATACTATGCGGCTCAACTGCGGACAGTATTTACATTAACGTAAACTCCGAATGTTGATTTAATCAGCAGAACTTCATATTCTCCCATGACTATATTGGGAGAAGTGTGTGGGTGGGGAGGACGTTGTTACAAGAGTCATCTTTTTATTAAGAGGTCAGTAAATAATATCTAAAGTTAAAACATGAAACATCCAGAAGAGCCGACGGTAATTTTCTCTGATGTGTTGGACACAGGTTGGGAGGGTTGGAGCAGCAGCTCTTGGTTTTGTTATAAGCTTTAAAAACCATGTGCTTTTGTATTATTTTGATAAAATGAAATGAAGGAGGTGACATAGAAATGGAAAGGGACTTAGTAATTTGGCTTTTCATTGATTTCTTGCTATAGCTGCTGTACTCTAGAATTAAGTAATTACCTTGGCTTCTGTGTTTAAATATATTCTCATTAGAATAATGTGGGTGTATCTTTTGCCTTTTGGACCCAATAGATGGCTTAGAGTATTAGGTTCAGAATCCTCTTGTGTTTTTTTTTTTAACACATGTTGTATGTTTTAAATTTAACATAAGCCCCAGCTGAATTTATTCATTAGATGCAGGTTATTTAAAAAATAACCGACTTTCTCTGCCTAGTTTATTGTTAAAAACATTCTTCTGAATACACCTAATGTCTCGTCCTCAGCCTGCAGAAACGTGGGCAGCTCGTGGTTTGTCAGATAGCACGGTGAAGTCAGGACTGTATCCTAAAAACCTGATTTTCTTATTTAGGTTTTTTCTGGTTTCTTCTGGTTTTCTCTGGCAGTTATTGTTCATGTATGTGGTATGTCCAGAGAGAGGCTTTGTGTTTTTGTGAGAGAAGTGGGATTGATTTTCTCATCAAGTGGGCTTTTCCTTTTGTTTTGTAGTCAGTTGAGGAAACAGGAAGGGGAGAGATTTCTGGAAAGGTCTTCATGTTTATTGGTTTATTGATACTTCTGGGAGGAACAAAGGAAGGTAGTGTCCCTTTCTGTCATTTAGCTCTGCCTGGAATCAGAACCCAGCCAGTTTATCTGCCAGTCCTGGGAAAGGCCCCGTTTGAAATTTCTAAATAATTAGTAATATAGCTCCCATGTATTGAATGGTCTTATGTTCCAGGTACTTTTTAAAGGGACTGACGGCATTACGTCACTCACTCTTCGCCACAGTACTATGAAATATGTGTAAGATGAAGGTAACATTTTGAGGGGGGGGGGAGGTTAATATTTATAGCAAGACTGTCATTTAGGTCCAGGTGGGGACTTGGAGACATTTTCTTGCTCTTCTACATATGTGTGTGGAAGGTAGTATGCAAACTGTATTTTAGAGTCACATGCAAGTAGGCTTTAATAAAGAGATTCCGGAACATAATCAGCATTTGAAGTCTGGAGTTAAAGATTTTTTAAATTAATTAATTTTTTATTGAGGTAACATTGGCTAATAACATTTTATTTCAGGTGTACAACATTATAATTTGATATCTTCATGCTCATGACTGAAAGTCTGGTTTCCATCCATCATCATCCATTCGACCCCCGTGACCCGTTTCGCCCCACCCCTACTCCCCTCCCCCTGGCGAACCGGCAGTTAGGTGGCCCTTGAGGGTACTGTGCTGCGTAAAATAAGTCATGTGGAAAAGGACAGAAACTGTATGATTTCACTCATGTGGAATATAAAACAAGAAACATGAACAAACAAAACAAAAACGCATAGGTATAGACAAGATTCTGAATTGAATTCAATGACTAATGAGACAGTTCATACGTTCTTAGATATGTAGATTTAAAAACGTGAATATTTTCCTAGTCGATCTTCTAGTCGAACAAAACATATCTTTTTACGTAGAAAATCTGTTAGTACTGATCCTTAAGATGCAGTCACAAAGGGGTTCTTAGGTTAAATGAAGATGGATGTTTATTGCCGTGTTAGTAACAGTAGTCGGCTAATGTAATAAATACTACAGGTGACGGCTTAAACCGTGAACAGGGAAGTAATGGGAGACCACGCACTCACGGAAAATAAAGATGCAAAACTACTTCGTGCCTTAGAACACCTTTCACTATGTATTAAATGTCAGAGAAGAAAACGGATTTCAGAGCGGTAGGGGGCTACTCTTTTATTTTTAAAGTTTATATGTATATTTTTACACAGGAGAAGTCTGGAAGTTTGAATGCCAAATGTTAATTATAGTTACCTTTGGATATGAGGCTTCAGATGATTTAAAGTTTATTTTTTTCTTATTTTTTTTTTCATTCAGGAAACATTCATTGAGCCATTCCTGTGAACCACCACTCCCCAACCCCCCCGCCGCCATTGTATTTTCTAGAACGATAATGTGTTACTTGTACAATGAATATTTGATGTCGTATTTTAGAAAGGAATTTACAGGTTAGAATTTTTTATTAAGTGATTAAAATAATACCTTGGTCATTAAAGTGGTAAGTTCAGTTATTCGGAAAATCCATTTATTCGCAACACTTTATTCATGAAAAATACAGAATAAAATGAGACGGTGTAATGTTGAAGCCAAATATGGTCCTATGAAGAGAAAGTGTTTTCATTGATATGAAACCGATAAGTCATCTCTGTCCGAAGCAGCCTTTCTTCACGTGGGGGGAGACGTCAGTCATACGCTCTGCACCGCTTTGTAATTGAACCGGGAAATGAAGTGTACGTCGGAATACGTTTTTCATAATGAGTAGCCATAGATGCATATTTTCAAATTTTTTTTTTTTTCTTTTAATTTCAGGCAACTCCAAGAGCAGCGACAGAAGGAGCTGGAGAGGGAAAGACTGGAGCGGGAGAGGCTGGAGAGGGAGAGGCTGGAGCGGGAGCGCCTGGAGCAGGAGCAGCTGGAGAGGGACAGACAGGAGCGGGAACGGCAGGACCGCCTGGACCGCCTGGAGCGGGAGAGGCAGGAGCGCGAGCGGCTGGAGAGGCTCGACCGAGAGCGGCAGGAGCGCGAGCGGCAGGAGCAGCTGGAAAGGGAGCAGCTGGAATGGGAGCGAGAGCGGAGGATGTCCAACGCCGGTAAGTTCGCGCCTCATGCCGCGGCCCTGAGTAGCTGGGCTCGGATGGTGGGCGAAGTTTGGCGGAGCCGTGGGTTAGAATATTTCACCCTTGAGATGCTTGGGATTAAGCGGTACGATAGGGAACGATTAAAAATATGCGGCAATTGCTACTTCAACATTTTCTTATTTCTCTCTATTGCTTTTATTGCTCGGAGACTTAAAGAAAGCTCTTGGAAACTCTTATTCTGGCATTCTAATTCTTCTGGCTCCCTAGAAATTGTCTACCAAGTATAAGTGTGTTTTTATGGGAAATTTGTTATGTTGGAGGAAATTTGACTATATTTCCCTGCTGAGATATCTTAAATTGTCTTGCATACTGTACTGTCAAGTACCGTTCAGCAAGTCATTTGCTTGATTGCGTTCCTAAGTTTTTGAAAGAGGAATTAAAAACAAGTTTAAAATATCCTCTCTAAAACTGACTAGTTATTCCAATATGTTTGTTTTTTAGTATTGCAGGAAATTACTGATAGTTACTAAATCAGATGGAATTTATTCAAAGACCTAAAGGTTTAGATATGACAGCATTTGAGGCCTTTTGACATTCATTAAAATTAACATACATCGTAAGATTTAAGAATATTTTTTAATGCCATGTGGCCCATGTGAAGTATCTCAATGTGGGTTGATTAAATATCGGTTGATTGGTTTGTTTTTAACTTCCTAATTATTTTCTGGGGTTATAGCCAACAAAACAAAACTTTTCTACAAGTAAGCATTGAATGGGGGTTCCTAGCCCTTTATCACAATCGTTTGCCAGTTTTGCTGGTTTTGTTTTAAAAAACAATTGAACTTCTGTTTGTAGACCCATTTGTATAACCTGAATGTTTTTTTAGTGGACTAAATAATGAAAATTTAAGACTACAGGTGCTACTTTTTTTTGGTAAAGGATAAGCTAATCAATTTATTTGATCAACCTGCTTATTAGCTGAAAAGAAAACTTATTTCATCCTCTTCTGGGTCTCAAAATGCATTTATGAGTTACAACGTTCTCGGGTGAAGTCAGTTATTTGCACATGTGCTCGATTCTCTGTACTAACTGTAGTCTACATTTATACATTTTGTCTATGCTGGTTTTGTGGCTTTACTAGCTCCCTTTTTCTCTCTCCTTTTTTATCCTGTCTTTTGCTGCCGCTTTCCACCTCTGTCCAGCTCCATCTTCCGACAGCTCCCCGTATAGTGCTCCACTTCCGGAGTATGCCAGTTGCCAGCCTCCTTCAGCACCTCCTCCATCATATGCTAAAGTCATCTCAGCTCCAGTGTCAGATGCCACTCCTGACTATACCGTAGTGACCGCTTTGCCACCTCCTTCCACACCCCCTACACCACCACTTCGACACTCAGCGACACGTTTTGCCACCTCCTTAGGGTCAGCCTTCCACCCCGTTCTTCCTCATTACGCTCCAGTTCCTCGTCCTCTGAACAAAAACTCTCGGCCTTCTTCTCCTGTGAACGCTCCCTCTTGTCAGCCTCCAGCTGCGAAGCCCGGGGCCTGGTCCACGTCCAGCGTCTCGCCCCTCCCTCCATCTCCTCCAGTAATGATTAGCAGCCCCCCAGGCAAGGCTACTGGTCCGAGGCCTGTCCTCCCCGTTTGCGTTTCTTCTCCTGTGCCCCAAATGCCTCCATCACCAACCGCACCCAACGGGCTGCCTGACTCTGTCCCATACCCAGTGTCTCCGCCGCCTACCTCAGGGCCAGCTCCGCCGCCGCCGCCGCCTCCGCTGCCGTCCCTGGCACCACTGTCACACTGTGGATCTCGAGCTTCTCCTCCTCCAGGCGCCCCTGTTGCCTCAACTCCCTCATCCAAGCCTAGTGTTCTCCCTTCTCCCTCTGCAGCTGCCCCCGCCGCTGTGGAGACTCCTCTAAACTCTGTGCTGGGAGACTCCTCTGCTTCTGAGCCAGGCTTGCAGGCAGCCTCTCAGCCGGCCGAGACGCCAGCCCCGCCGGGTAAGGCTTCCGTCGTCGCCACTAACAGCTCGTCGTAGCAATGACCGCTTCGGTCGGCCGGAAGAGTGGGGAGGGTGGTTTTGAGAGCCGGACATCTTTATGCCATGGTCCCGTTTTTTTTCTTCTTTTTTTGTAATTTAAAACATGAGAAAATAAGTGTGCTTTTCTTGTCTGTCGGATTCATTACGTTTGGAGGAGCAATTTGAGGAATTTGCATATTGAACTAGATTTTGGGATCTTCGGCAGTATCGGATTTGGAGGTGTATTGCAATATTTAAGGGCCTCCTTGATACGTTTCTTTTAAATTTCAGTAGGAAAACATTACTTGACACATTTGACCTGTACAATCAATATATGTTCCAACTTGTCTTCCTCGAATTTCCGGAAAACTTAGAAATATGTTTAGGGCCCAGTTGTAGTCGTTACATATATAATCCTGGGGTTTCCTGTGCAACAGTTCTCCTCGGGGCCCTGTTTCATTTCGGCCTTTCCTATGTTTGTCTCTCCATATTGGATTTCCAGGGCTGGGTGCCCCCCGAAACCCTTTGGAGCCCCTGACTTTGCAGAGGCAGGTGGAGAGGATGGCAGGCTTGGTAGCTGTGCCAAAGCAGTTCCACGGTCCAGAATTATAAGGAGCAGCAGGCCAAAGGGACGATTGAGGGAGACTAGCATCTCCTACAGTTGTTCCCTACCCCTGCCATCCCACCCCCATGCTTGAACCCTGCCGCCCTGGTGACAGGGAAGGGAGGACGTATCTAAGTGTGGATTATTTATTTGTAGGTAGAGAGGGACCTGGCTCCGTAAATAAGATGCTCAACAACTCCTCCGCCTTCTTTCTTTCTTTCTTTCTTTTTAGGGAGAATTAACAGGAAAGACTATGACAACAGATTTGTACTTACAAAGAAACAGTGTTATAGTAAGATTTAAACATACCTCTTTTTAAAAATCTTAGTTCTCAAAGTAAAGTAATAAAGCTTGTTGTGGCCGTATATACATTTTTCTTGTCAACTTACCAGATTTGCATAAACACAAGTCAGAATTCTAGTTTGAGTGTCATCATGACAGTGATGCTGGACAGGAGAGCCACAGTTAGCCCAGTAGGGTCAAGCGTCCCCCCACCCTGTCCTGAGAGCCCCGGTAACCCCCGGCAGATGGACAGCTCATTACTTTGTATCGTCTTCAAGCAGTTGATGGTCTCAGCTTGTGCAGCTCCTCGGAGTTAGCAGTTTCCAAAGACGGACTGCCCAGTGTACGAATAGAAGGGAGTACCTACTAGTTCCGTTTTCCGATGTTAAGTAAGGTCTCTTTCACTTCTTTTGTGATCTTAAAAGAGTTGGACGTTTTTCTCTTACCCCCCGTCTTCTAGGCTAAAAGAATTCACTTTTATTTCATTTAATGATTTCTGATAGTTATGTTGAGGATTTACTTTGTACTAGTAGATTGAGGTTTCTTTACTTCAGCAATTCTTGATTTTCGCTACACATTGGAACTAGATGTGGAATAATTTAAGATTTTGAAGCCTGGGACTCACCTCTCCTCACGTTCTCGGTCCAGCCACTTTATTGGTTCACAGATTGTTTTGGGTCATATACACTATTTTGTTTTTTTCAGGGATGTTACCTCTCTTCCAAGTTTTATAAGCATTTATTTTATTTACTAAATCCCCACAAACAAAAAAAAGAAATTCTGATTAGATGATCTGTTGGCACAGTTCTATCGATAAAGCCTGACATTGAAGTAAGTAGTTCCACACTTTGGCTTTACATTTTAGTATCGTTTTAATACCAATGTAGACTTTAAACATTCTGATATGTCGAACGCATTAGTATGCAGTAAATGTGCGAGTCCTCGGTCTTATTTGGGATGGCATCGTGCGTACCGTTCCAGGTAAGGCAGTGTCGGTTAGCTCTGTCGCTGACGGTCTCCTTTGACATTTCTTTCTCAGGCATCGTCTTGGGACCGCCTGCACCTCCGCCCCCTCCTCCACTGCCACCGGGTCCTGCCCAGGCTTTAGCCTCACTTCCTCCTCCCCCAGGACCCCCTCCACCTCCTCCACTGCCATCCTCAGGGCCTCCGCCGCCTCCTCCCCCACCCCCGCTTCCGAACCAAGCACCCCCCCCTCCTCCCCCGCCTCCCGCTCCTCCCCTCCCTGCATCTGGATTTTTTGCGGGATCCATGTCAGACGACAATCGCCCATTAACTGGACTGGCAGCTGCAATTGCTGGAGCGAAACTTAGGAAAGTGTCACGGGTAAACGCATTTCCAAATTTCTGTATTTTTTATGTATGTCTTGTTCTTTCTCAATGTATCAAATACTAAATTTATTGTATTCTAATTTTTTGAACCCTATGTCATTATCTTCATCGATTTTAAAAAATTATGGAAAAATTGCAAGAACAATGCAGTTTCTGTGAACCCATCAGTCAGACGCACCAGTTAACATGTTACCAGTTTCCTTTATTCCTCTTTCTCTGAATCCGTTCTCTTCGGCATAAACACACGCACACGCACACTTCCTGTTTTTGTCTCAGCCGAGAGCGAGACACCATGCCCCTGTTTCCCTGTGCGCTTCCTTCCGTACGCTCACTCACACGACCGCAGTGTAACCATCGGAATCAGGAAATCTAATCGATAGAATACTGTAATCTTTAAATCTGCTCAGATTTCATCTATTGTCCAGTAATGTTTTTCATGTTTTTTTCTAGTCTAACATGACCCATTATCATGTAGTTGTAATATCGCTTTAATCTGTAACAATTCCTCAGTCTTTCATTACAGTGACATTTTTGAAGACTATAAAACAATTATTTGTAGCTCATCCTTCAGTTTGGTTTATCTCACGTTTCCTCAACATTAGAGTTACGCATTTGGGGGGCAGGTTATACGTTGTTTTTTTTTTTTTACCACCAAAGTAATATGTCCTTTTCAATATATCACACAAGGGGACATATGACAGTTTTTTCCATTATTGGTGATATTAGTTTTGATAATACTTCCTTTGATACATAAAGTCAGTGCTATTCACCTTATCAGTTCTTAAGATTTAAAAAAATACATGTTTTTATTGAAATTAATGCTGCTATATCCTTCTGTTTTGACTTGCATATAGTCTAACCTTGGAGTTTATTATGTGTGTGTTCTCATTAAGATGGAGGATGCCCCCTTCCCAGGTGGGGGGAATGCCACTGGTGTGAATTCAACCTCGTCCAAAACAGACACAGGTCGTGGAAATGGACCCCTTCCTCTAGGGGGCAGTGGTTTAATGGAAGAAATGAGTGCCCTGCTGGCCAGGAGGTGAGTGAGAAGTTACGTCAATTCTGCTCAGAATCGAACACCCTGTTCAGAGTTATAACAACCTGTTGTTACTTTTATTCTGAATATAATTTCATTAGATGCATTTCTTTCCTTTTGGAGTAGTTTTTATACAAAGAGTTTGGTCATCTTTTTAAAAAAATCCAATTTACCTTCTTCGTAGGAGAAGAATTGCTGAAAAGGGATCAACAATAGAAACAGAACAAAAAGAGGACAAAAATGTAAGTTAATAAAGGTGTAGCGTGCTGGACCTGAACAGGTGAAATTCAAGCGTAGCTTATTCAGGAAATCGTGGCAAAGATTAGTTTGAACTTAATATGAACTTGCAATTTCTTACCTTTTACTCTTCAGGTATTCAAAATAGCTTGTTTTGAGCATTTTTTATGAATGTTTTGTGACACTCTTAGTGAAGCAGGTTGAATACATGGACATGGGGGAGCACGGGAGTTCACGCCTGGAGAGTGTACTTCTGTACTGAGCCCGCCGTGCAGGGAGCGAATGACCTTCTACTAGTGTTTAGTTTTTGTTTTTTCCTCTTGGGGTCTGTTTCCTCGCACGTACAATGAAGGAATAAGACTAAATCAGCAGTTTTCGCATGTTTCCCGGGGCCGAGGGGGGGGTGCGCCCTGTGATTCTCAGCTATGCAGCCTCTCCAGTTCAGCCGGGCAAACTCTGATGTATCTATTTCATATGTTGGTGTTTAATAAATAATAAGATTGTTTTTCCTGCTACACTTGGCCTTTGATGGCGTTCCTCAAGTCTGTCTCTCCTGCCTGGCCTCGTACCGTTGGCCAGTGCATTTCTTAGAACAATGAGGACAGGAGCTGTGAGGGTACAGGAGGGGGAGGTGCTAGGAAGATGAGAAAGGAAAGCGATCTGAAATCGAAGGGAGAAAAGACTGACGAAGGAGAACGTGGGAAATGGCAGAAAGAATGCCGGACGTGGAAGTATAAAACACGAAATATACGTGCGACAGGTTTCTGCCGGATGTGATATTAGTAACATGCGTCTCTGTATTTAGGAAGATTCAGAGCCTGTAATTTCTAAGGCCTCTTCAACAACTACACCTGGTAAGTTCAAGAGAGAAATACTTTGACTTTTGCAAACCTACTCTAAATGTGAATAAAATTCCCTGTTAAAATTCTCTGGTTAAAAATGCCCTGTTTGGATCAAGTGACTGCTTGGTCACTAAAATGTTCAAGTTTTTTGTTCACACTTGAGAGCACTGGCTTTTTTTCCTCTGCCTTTTGTTAGCTCAGAAGCAGTGGTTAATTTCTTTCTGATATTGAGAAAGCCATTAAAACCTAAAGTTTTTTTTATCTGATGACTCTTCCTTCGAAAATCATAATTTTTACACGTTCCATGTGTGTTATTGTTAATGGTTTGAGGTTACTCACTAAAAGAAGGAAAAATACATTATCAAGTGAAAGTATTTTTTTAAATAATTGATTCTTAAAGGTAAAGATTAAGTGAGTGCGTTCGTTAGCATTGTCTGTTGTGCCTTGAAGACCGTTTAGTTTGGCTGAAAGCAGAGGGAGGGCCACGTGATATTTCCAGAGGTGGGAATCCCCGAGCACAGATAGGGAGCTGGAGACCCAGGAAGCAGTTGCCTCGCTTGACTAGAATGGAGAATTCTTTTTGAGAAATATTGAGGAAGGAGGTTGGAAAAGTGAGTTAGGCCCAAAATGCTGAAAGCTTTTCACGAAAAGATCAGGAGTTTAGTCCTGATCCTGCAGGCAGTGAGCTGACAACCAACTGACCCGGCCGTAGGAACATTAAAATGGCACCTGTGAGCGGTGTGCCGGAGAAAGTGACCGAGATGGGGAGCTCGTACCAGTAAGGAACCGTGTGCATCCAAAGACCTGATGCAGGTAGCCCAGCCTCCGTGCTTCCTCCGGACATCGACCTGGAGCATCTCAGGCAGCAGCCTCCCTGCCTGCAGAGCTG